CATTCTCGTGATGAAGACAATGTTCAGAAATCAAGGTAAAGCATTAAGGCTTTTTGATGAGTCAATAAAGCTTAAAGCTTTTTAATGATTTTCTAAGTCTGGCACGATATGACCAGATAGTGTGTCTATAGGATTACACGTTTAGAAATCACCTATGTGAGTGTTAAGTGTAAGCCGCTTTAAGGGGAATGAAAGTAAAGGCCCATTCTCTAAGCACTCATGAAACCAGGCGGTGTTCATGGCTGAAACGAACACAATCGTGAGAACCAAAGACGGTTAAGGGTTAATTGTGTGACTTATGGTTGTCTAGGTATACACCAAAGTTCGACGGTTCAAAGATATCAAATCTACCGATTGACCGAGTATATCCGACATAAGTTCACTACGGAAAGTTCAAAGGGAAACCTACTTATCCAGATGCGATTAATCCTTATTTGTGAATCACACAGTATTTTCATGCATGTTTTTCCTCATATGACCATTCCCCATTCATGTGGGGGATTGTTGCGTTTTTATTAAGGGGTGTGAATGGGAAATGGAAGAGGCACCTTTTAGATTGCACCTCTCCATATCACCCTTCATTTGTCTATAAATTTAGAGGCTTGGCCTCATTTTTAAAACATGAAATCAGACATGTAAAATCTGAAATCTTCTCCCCTCTTTTATACATTGTTGCATTATTTTCTAAAAAAACATAAGTGTCAAGTGTGATTTGCTCCGTTTGTTGAGTTCACTGAAGTTCTGTGATTTGAAGTGCCGCTATCACAAAATAGTTATTCCGTTCTATCCTGGGAGGAATTAATCCGTATACCTTGGGCAACAGTGAGGGGATTAAATTCCTTAAGGACACATTGTGCATTCAGTGGGCTCGGAATTATTTTACGTTTTGTTTATTGAACTAACATTTGTTCACTTTTCTGATTTTGAACACAATAATACCATCATTATTTTCATCAAATACTAAACTAGGATTAGATAAAAACAAGATTAATCTGAATTCAACGTGTTATAGTCATGCTTAAATCTCTTAATGATAACATAGATCTGTTGTGGAAGCACAAAGTAGAATAGAATGACTGTTATATCTATGCTTAAATTTCTTTTTAAATGTTTTAATAATCAAACAATCCACTAAAACAATGGTACAACGTTCGAAACTTAGTAAATGGACACATTCCTTCATCCTTTTCCACTTAAATAACGAGTTTTTACATGCAATAGGGCTCGAAACCATGACGTACGCCTTTACCCTTACAATTAAATAAGGAGCTTTTACTTGCATGTGAGGTTCGAACTCATGACGTACGCCTTCGTCAGGCGCAGTAAACCAAAGCGCTCCTTTACCCTTTCACTTAAATAAGGAGCTTTTACTTGCTACGTGAGGTTCGAACTCATGATGTGCGACTACTGTCACGCGCTTGGCTCGTAGCATTAGACCGAAGTCCTAAACTGCTTAAATCTCATCTATATATTATTAAAAGGAGAGGAAAAAGCCCTCTCCTTAAGCCAAGTGGCAACCTAAAAAAATGACACATGGCATAATTAGTTATTTAATTTATAATTAGTTATTGGTTATTATTTTTGAATCTCACATTTTCTCAATTCCAAACCCACAAATACATGACCTATAATATCTTTGGGATATCTTTTGACTTATTTTCAGTTCCAAACACTAGAGAGAACAAGGTTGGAAGCTAGGGTTTGCACACACACTTTGGTCTTGAAGATTTGAAGCTTTTGGTTGAGAATTACCCATTTATGTTCATTTCTTCATTTCCTTGCTTTGTATTGTATATCTAAGTGTGTAGTATTTTATTCAACACTTAAATCTTGTTTATGGAAATATTCATGTTTAAAGCGTGGATTANATATAGTAGTTGGTAAATTCATCAGCTGTTTAGTCTTAATGAAGACTAGTTGATGAAACTACTAATTCGGAAGTTGGTCACGTGCCTTTCTCAAAAGATCATTTTCTTTATTGAAAATTTATATTGTTTAGTTCTTTTATGAAATGATGTCACTTTGAAAGGTGTGACTTTTCATAGAAAGATACATTTGTACGTTTTTGTATGTACATGATCGTTAAGGAACAAATGTATTAATACGTTGATCTATAATGAGGTGAACCAACCGATGAACATGATCAAAATCTATTGCAAATTGGATTTGTATCATGAATGAAGGTGCTATAATTTGCATATCATATAGACGTATGAATAAATAGCATACAAATGCTTGAAAATGGCTGAGTGATTGCGAAATGTGTTTTATATTAAAAGGTTGTGGCCACAATTGATGCCAATCATTCCAGTTGTTTTTATAATATACGATCGATACATTAAGTGTAGTCAATAATCTGATATGCAATCGAAATTCGATACGTATTAGTCTACGACATAAGAAAGTTTGCATTGAACTTTCATGACAATGAAACGAGTTTTGAAGTATTTGAAATATACTCCAAATTACGCTTTGCACTACAATAAGTATCCTGCGATAATAGAGGGGTATAGTGATGCAAATTAGATCACCGGTTCAACCGATTCTAAACAGTCGGTGGAGGAGCAATGTATTGGAAATCATCCAAACAAATGTGTATTGAACGCTCTATAGTGGAGATTGAGTTTATAGCCTTACACAAGGCCGGTGAAGAAGTTGAATGGCTCTAGAATTTCTTGGAAGATATTCCATTTTGGCCAAACCTTTGGCACCTACGCGTATACATTGTGATAGTCAAGCGGTAATAGGCAGGGCAAGGAGCGTTATGTATAACGGAAAATCTCGTCACATTCGACGGAGATACAATACCGTTAGACAACTACTCTCTAGTGGTGTTATCACGATTGACTACGTAAAGTCAAGAGATAACGTGTCGGATCCACTTACAAAAGGCATATCTAGAGAGGCAGTTGAAATATCATTGAAGGGAATGGGGCTAAGGCCTAGGACAAGTCATCATGGCGGTAACTCTACCTAGCAGACTGGAGATCCCAAGAGCTAAGTTCAAAGAGATCAAACAAAGTTATGAATGACGGTTCAACATTTTCAAATAACTCAACCCATTCTCGTGATGAAGACAATGTTCAGAAATCAAGGTAAAGCATTACGGCTTTTTGATGAGTCAATAAAGCTTAAAGCTTTTTAATGATGTTCTAAGTCTGGCAGGATATGACCAGATAGTGTGTCTATAAGATTACACGTTTAGAAATAACTTATGTGAGTGTTAAGTGTAAGCCGCTTTAAGGGGAATGAAAGTAAAGGCCCATTCTCTAAGCACTCATGAAACCAGGCGGTGTTCATGGCTAAAACGAACACAACCGTGAGAACCAAAGACGGTTAAGGGTTAATTGTGTGACTTATGGTTGTCTAGGTATACACCAAAGTTCGACGGTTCAAAGATATCAAATCTACCGATTGACCGAGTATATCCGACATAAGTTCACTACGGAAAGTTCAAAGGGAAACCTACTTATCCAGATCGATTAATCCTTATTTGTGAATCACACAGTATTTTCATGCGTGTTTTTCCTCATATGACCATTCCCCATTCACGTGGGGGGATTGTTGCGTTTTTATTAAGGGATGTGAATGGGAATGGAAGAGGCACCTTTTAGATTGTACCTCTCCATATTACCCTTCCTTTGTCTATAAATTTAGAGGCTTGGCCTCATTTTTCAGACATGAAATCAGACATGAAAAATCTGAAATCTTTTCCCCTCTTTTCTACATTGTTGCATTATTTTTTAAATAAACATAAGTGTCAAGTGTGATTTGCTCCGTTTGTTGAGTTCGCTGAAGTTCTGTGATTTGAAGTGCCGCTATCATAGAATAGTTATTCCGTTCTATCCTGGGAGGAATTAATCCGTATACCTTGGGCAACAGTGAGGGGATTAAATTCCTTAAGGACACACTGTGCATTCAGTGGGCTTGGAATTATTTTACGTTTTGTTTATTGAACTAACGTTTGTTTGCTTTTCTGATTTTGAACACAGTAATACCAACAGGCAGTTTATCGGCCTAATTCAATCTTGCGTGCACTAATTGTTTGCTGACAGTCTAGCATACAAATTCAGAATAGGAAATTACACATTGAGTCCAGACACACATGTCTATTAACGCCATGTAGTGTGTCATGTGTTGTAGAGTGAAAAAAATAGAACACACAACCATGATAAGGTTACTGTAAGACGTTGGACAAGGACAAAGATAGGTACAATTATATCCTTTAAGGAGGTCTGATGGTGTATGACTTCTTATGAAGTACTAATTACTAAAAGTTTNCCAAAAACCAAAAAAACACCACACCCCTATAACCATCCCTCTTTCAACATTTCCGAATCTAAACAAAAATTTGCAAACCAATCATAACTACTTTTGTTCAGGCATATAATAAGTACAAAAGAAAGACATGATAGTAATCCTTTTTCAAAAAAGAAAAAGAAAGGCCAAACAAAAGAATCTTTTGAATACATGCCCACTAACCAAAGCAACCCCACAATACATAGTGAACATAGCTCCAACCATTTTCACAAGCAGCTAAAAAATGGCAGGTCAATAGTGCAATAAGAGCCTCATCTCTACAGTAAAAGGCAGCAGCAAGTTGTGGTTTATGAACAGTATATGTCTCATATTTTAGAGGAACAAGCCAAAATCCATCCATACATTTTAAGCAGAACATGATAGAGAAAGATGACAAACAACAACAAAAAAACTCAATGACTAGTGTGTACGCAAACCTTACACCCACCCTGAAAGTAAAGAGATTGTTTCCGATAGACTCTCGGCAAATGGGGTCTGGCGAGGGTAGCATGTACGCAGAACTTACCTCACCCAAAAGTTAGAGAGGTTGTTTCCGATAGACCCTCGGCAAGTAAGGTCTAGAGAGGATAGTGTGTCGCAAACCTTACCCACCTTGAAAGTTGAAAGTAGAGAGGCTGTTGCCGATAGACCCCTCAGCTCACAACAGAAAGATGATAAAGAGAGAAAAAAAGACAATATGGTAAAGGGGGGAAAACTTTGAGGGTCATTTTATTCAGAATATGTCTAAAAACAAGTTCCCATCAGTACAATTATGAACAAAAGAAACTACTGAAAACAAGGATTAGTAGACCTACCTTCTGTACCACTTAAGACACTAATCGAGATTACTACTACTACTACTACTGCCCTTTCTTCTTTCCCTTCCCTTTTCATGATCTGTTAGTCAAAGGATCTTTCCTTGTATTTGGTTGTTTAATGTCACAAGCTTTGTTATGTTACAGATCATTAGTCTACCCTTCTAAACACTTACTGCCCCTAGTTTCTTTACAAAGTCAAAGAGTGATTGGAAATAGAAATTTCACAATCATCATTGTAGAACACTAAAACTTACCTGCTGCTATTTTCCTACACCTTTATCTAAACCTAAAGATGAAACAAGAAAATGCAGGACATATCTAGCAATCTACTTTCACCCATTCGTAACGTCCGGGAAGGGGCTTCTCATTCAATGGATCAAAGTTGTACCTGCAAGTGGTTCCAAAACAAGCTCGATTAGACATGAAGGTGCATCTCCCGGTGTTATTACAAGAAGTGTCAAGTGAATTCTTACTTCTCGATGAATCGTCTCCGCTGCTGCTCTTCTGCACTGGTGAAAAACTCATCCATTTCATGAGCTGTCGGGATATTCGTTCGTAGCAAATTTGGTACTCTGCTGGTTGCATTAATACGCCTCGTACTGGAACCAGGGGTTTGCATGTTGTCTGAATCTCTTATCAAACTGCAAGGTGTGCTTTCCCTGGTGGTCCTGTAAGAAATAGCAAAAGAACTCTATAGTGCTCTATTCAAATGAATCAAATCTTAATCCTTGCAAATCACTAGTAGAAAAACAACAACCACCCAGTATAATCCCACAAGTGGGGTCCGGAGAGGGTAGTGTGTACGCAGACGGCAGACCTTACCCCACCCTGGGGTAGAGAGGTTGTTTCTAATAGACCCTTGGCTCAAGAAGATTGAAAAGAACACTAGTAGAAAAACAGAGTAAAATATATTCAGATTTGCAACACATACAGCTCATGGCAGCAAAAAGATTCAGAGATAACTGCATAAAGGTGAATCATTTAGTGGCTGTCAAAAAAGCTTTCTTGCCTTTATTGTCATATCCATCTATTACTTCAATCATAGAGGGAACCCCACGTTCATTTTCAATGGTAAATTGTTCTCAACAATGATTGCAACTTTGCAAATTTAAGGCAGCAAAGATACTATTCATATGCATGCATCCTGCAGTTAACAGACAACTTTTTTTTCACGACGAAAGTTTCAACGACCATAAATGTACTATGGGATGGCAAATCTAGAGGGGTAGTACAGCCATCCATCTTTTTTCTTGCTCCTTTTTTGGATGGGTAGACTCATACAAGGAACAAGTTCATCCAATTAGCTTTACTTTGCTCAACAAATCAAACGCCAAAAAAATAAAGTTGCAATTCATATTCGCTCACCGCATTGGAACAAAATCGGCCATTTATCTAATGCAACAACAATGTGGTGTCCGATAACTACGGTGCCAATATGTGCAAGATAACTAATTAAGTGTTGCAAATAAAGCTCACTACAGAAACTGAACGACGAAACAATAGAGAAATGGTTATTTAACTATATTTAACTTCTACCACATGGAGAGAAAACTATAACAGATAACATAAATAAAAGGAGGGTCCAACAGATATACACAAGTAAAAGAAGGCATCTATAAGACAAATATCACCACATTTACTTTTTCAAATAAAGACCAGCAACACACTTTGGGTCAAAAAGGTAATGATTTTTCAATTGGAACCACATATAGAAAAATCTAAACCAAACTAGGAATTTTTAACAAACGTGATCAAGAATCATTACTCTTTCGTTTTCAAGAAAAAAATGATTTTAGAACACCCCTTTCTTGTGCCGAAAACTAGGAAGACAAAATAATCACTCCGAGAATTCTTTTGTTCCCTGTATTTATTCCCCCAACAATGTTTCTGCTGATTTACAAATCCTCCAAGATAAAGGTTCAATTATAAATCTAATACATTAGAAAAACTGTCATCAATGAAGCAATCTCAAGAGAAAAAAAGGACAGCCCGATGCACTAAGCTCTCGCTATGCGTTGGTCCGGGGAAGGACCGGACCACAAGGGTCTATTGTACGTAACCTTAACCTGCATTTCTGCAAAAGGCTGTTTCCACGGCTTGAACCCGTGACCTCATGGTTACATGGCAACAACTTTACCGGTTACGTCAAGGCTCCCTTCGAAGCAATCTCAAGAAACAACCATAAAATTCCATAATCTAATGGTGATCCAGTAACCAAATGCATCACATTTAAGCAACCCTATTAAAAGGGATAAATCAGTATACCAGACTTTGTATGTTTAAAGTTTTTCTTTTTTGTGGTTGGTTGTGTGGGGGGACCTTAATAAGTCCTATACTTTCTCAATAAAAATTACATCATAAATCTACTTTTCATATATTTGCACCAAATGTCCACAATATAAAAAAGGGGGACTTTAAAGGGATGAATGAGGAATAAAAAGCCGTGTGAAAGTGACTACTATATGAAAAGCAGGCACCAAATTCAAGAAATGAAAAAACCTTAAACTTGAACCAATATCAAGAACACAAATTTTCATTTGTCTGCATTTTCCCCTTTCAATTAAAATCGACAAAGAAAAGGATAAAGAGCGACAAAGACAAATCCACACTCAAATAAGGCAAATAACCCTTAAACAACACCCTTATCCAGACTTAAAAAATTATAAAATAATCAGCCTCAGAAAAATATTCTGTTCTAAAAAGAATTTTTTTTCTAGTCTAAAGAAGCAAAATAAACCCTTCTGATCAAGAAAAATCTGAACTTTTCAAAACCCAACACCAAATTCAATACCAAACTTGCATTTCTTAGCAATCTATAAACCAAATACAGTAAAAATCACTATTTTTAATACTATTTTTTGCAACAAATGGTAAAAATTAGTCAGAATAGAACAACCAGAGCAGAAATAGTAAAAAAGGGGGAACTTTTTTCTAAAATATTTTAGATACTGTCTCAAAACTTGCTCTAAAAACTCAAATAAACCACAAAACTCTAATCTTCACATAAGAGTAAGAAACATAAACATGCAAACTAGTAAACCCCTCACATAACATTTTCAGCAAAGGGAAAATGAAAAATAAATTAATTTTTCAAAAAAAAAAACAAAAAAAACACCCACCTTTTTCTACCTTCAAATTCCAACAAATTCTCCCCAAAAGAAGCTTCAACAGCCACATCACCACCAAAGCAGCTATTCTCCTTTACCTCTTCAGAACTAGTTCTTAAAACATTAGGGTTTTTAGGGTTTAACAAATTGGGATCTTTTGAAACACCATTTTTCTGCTTCCTCCCTTCAAGAACCGAAAAGGGTTTGATTAACTTTCTACTACGAAGCTCTAGGTAGGACCCACCATCACCGCCGGAGCCGGATTCTGTAGCCGCCGGTGAAACCAATTTCGAAAGAGCTAGGGTTTTAGCCCTTGTTAAAACACCAAGAGGTGATACTGATACTTCCCCTGACTTTTTTGACTTCCTCATATACTTCCCCATTTTTTTCACTAATAAAAACAGAATCTTCAACCTTTTTTTCTGCTTTTTTTTTTAGCTAAGCTCTTTTCATGGAGGTTTTTTCCAATGTGTGTGGCTAAGCTCTTTTCATGGAGGGTATGCAGTTGTTTGTTAGAGAAAGAGAAAGAGGAGAAAAGAAAGGGAGAGATGAATATATAGTAATGAACTTTTTAGAGCAGAGGAAGAAGGAGAAAAAACAGTAAGGTGGGGACTTTATATGTACTTTTCTTTATTATATATCTCGTGACATATTGAGTTTATCACCTTCTTCTTTTTTTATTTAATTTTTATTACTAGTATTTATTTTCTTTCCGACTCCCACTTTCTTTTTTGTTTTTTTCGTAAAAAGGATTAGTTTTAATTTAATACAACATTTGATTTTAGAATAGAACTCTAGATTTATAAAACCACAATTATTTCATCTTATCACCAAACTAGGTAAATCTTTACTATCCATTACACCTTATTTGGATTCATTTCCTTTTAATATTAAATCATTTTAATATTAGAATTTTTTAATTTTTTATTAACATATAAATCTTTAACAAGATTAAAGAAATCCTAACAATAATTAAACATAATGTGAGTGTGTCAACATGGCTAAGACTTAATCTTAACTAGTTGGTACAACTTATATGATTTTTTTCTTTTATATTATTTTATTGTTTGTTAAGCTTGTATGAATTTTCAAAGATGGTAGGGTTTTTGAGATAATTTTCATTTTATAAGATTTTCTATTTAATTTACGCCTTCTAACACATTTTATCATGATTTTACATCTATATACTGATGCATTTGCAAGTTTATATTAGACAAGATCGTACAGTCTCAATCGGCATTCTCTCATTTTACATATTCTATAGGTTACGCTACTTGCACCTTTTGACCAATGTATTCCTCGGGTTCTTATTTAGTTTTCTATGTCCATGCATTTATCTTAATATCAATATCGTTGTGACGTTCATCTTATAAATATAATGGACTAAAGTCCCAAGATCCGCTCTTACATCTAGTACCATTATTCTAATTCAAATGTTCTATGTTGATTATACGTATTATATCTTTATTAATCATACTATTCTTTTGCAACATTGAATTCAGATTTATGAATTGTTTGCATCTACGCCTGCAATGCTACTTAACCACCTCAATTTGCTAAATTTGCATTGTATATATTTTATTTTACTTTTACTTATCCTATAGCTCATTCTCTTAGTTAAACTTTTTCTGATTTTTCCGATTAATATAATATTATCAGCAAATAGCATATAGAATCATATATTGCATAATGCATACTAGAGCTATCTATAACTTAGGCAAACAATTAATGGTGAATATAGTTTTTTTTTATATTAAGAATATCTTCTTAATAAAAGTAATTTACACTTTAAATAGGAAAATTTCTATAATGGTAGATAATGAATTTTGCTTCTTGAAAATAGAAAATCAGTTAGCTCTATAGTTGAGCGGTTGTTTCTTCTTTTGTCTAAAGTCAAAACTATAAATAGACCAAATATGATTCCCATTACACAACTCTTACTAACAAGATGAAATCAGTCTTTTTGGAATAAAAAAATGTTTCTTTAACAAATTTTGTCTAATATAACTTTCTGGGAAAATATTTCAAACAGTCAGCGTAAATATTTCATTATTCTTAATCGGAGGTCTCGGACTTGATGCAGGAGAATTGAGAAGTTCTTGGTAGGAAATATTTCATCCTTTAGTGAGCCTACTCGACACGACGACTACAACAAATTCAGTATAATCCCACGAATGAAGTCTGGGAGAATAGCGTGTACGCAGACCTTACCCCTACCTTGAGGGTAGAGAGGATGCTTCCGATAGACCCGGACTCAAGGAAAGAAAAAGAAAGCAATAACAATCAGCAATACCAACAGCAAGACGACAACAATAACAACAACAAGAACAACAACATACTCAGTATTATCCCACATCGTGGGGTCTGGGGAGGATACTGTGTACGGAGACCTTACCCCTACCTTTGTGAAGGTAGAGATGTTGTTTCCAATAGACTCTCGGCTCAAGAAAACATAATGTCACGACCCAAAATCCGTTAAAGGTCGTGATGGCGCCGGATACCACTATTAGGCAAGCCAACACCAAATAGTTAATTAAGTTCTCATTTTAATATACTCGAAATCATGAATTTCATTCAATTCAACTAGTAAAAGGTGAACTTTACAGAACAATTAAAAATGTTTTTTCCAATTCCAGTACTGAATATCCCATAATCATCCCAGAACCCGGTGTCACAAGTGCATGAGCAATTACTAGGAAATAAAATGAAATACAATAACTGTCCGGAATACAAATTTGGACAGAAAAGAAAATATAAATACTCCGAAGGAGACTCTGCTGGATGCGGATCGTCCCATAAGATGCAGCTCACTTAAGTCTCCGTATCAACCATGCCGCTGCGCCCCCTAGGCCACTAGACATATATGTGCCCGTACAACCAAAAATGTACAGCAAGTGTAGTATGAGTACGAAAACAATGCGTACCCAGTAAGTATCCAGTCTAACCTCGAAGAAGTAGTGACGAGGGGTCGACTTCGACACTTATTAGTGGTCAATAATATCAGGTACATTAAAGAGGTGAATAAATATGAGGTAGAGTAATATATGAAATAAATAAGTATAAAATACGTGGTAAAATTCTCCTCTTTACAATTTACTCAAGCTCTCAAATAGCACGTTCCCTCCTCAACCGGAGCATATATATAGTGGATTTCATCAAAGAGGTTGTCATAATTCAAATCAAGGAAAAGCCCTCAAATACACTGGCTTCTTGCCAAAATTATGCACGATTCCATGAGGATAATATATAGGGAATGTCGAGGCGTGCGGTCCGGTCCAACATAAAAGTAAATTGTGCACTGCCGAGGGTCGAACGACGCGAACCATAGATGCATCTATTACTCCTCTCGCGAATCATACAGGACCCGGTTAAATATAAATTTAAGGAATTACCCCGCTCGTGGATCATACATGCGACGCGGTCAAATATAAATTTAAGGAGTTACCCCGCTCGCGGATCATACTTGCGACGCGATCACACATAGATTCTTAAGTTATTATAGTATTCTTCCATTTTTTTAAAAATATGAAGTTCAAATGAAAACTTTTAAGATCCCAACTTTTCCTCAATTTCAACTCCTTTCAAAACATTTAATAGCAAACTCAATATCACTCCCTCTCAAGGCAAACAATGAACATAATTCAATAACAATATCAACAAGGCATAATGTAAGCCTAAAACTACCCGGACATAGGCATAGCTAGTAGCTACGTACGGACTCTCGTCACCTCGTGCATAGGTAGCCCCCACAAATAAAAACACATAATAGTTTAGTTCACCTATGGGGTTAATTGCCTCTTACAAGGTTAAAAAGGAGACTTACCTCGCTCCGAAGTTCCATAACCGGCTCCAACGCCACTCTAACACCTCAAACCAATGCCCAACGCTCCAAAACTAACCAAACAATGCGCAAACCAATGAAAATATACTCTAATACTCATAACAATTCAATTTAGAACAATTCCCAACTCCACTCGGAAAGTCGATAAAATCCTCCTCGGGCTTACGTACCCGGATTTCGAATTTTTTTTGAAAATAAACTTTTTCCATAATCCCACGAACTCAAATATATAACTTATTCCAAATTCCATGTCCAAAATCGTGGTCAAAACCCAAAAATACCAAATTCTAGGTTTTCTACCAAAACCCCACAATTTCTATTAATTCCCATGTTAAAATCCATGTATAATCATGTATTTAACTCGAAAATGTGAAGAAAGCACTTACCCCGTTATGGTTGATGAAGATGGCACTCCAAAAGTGCTCCAAAATCGGCTCCCATGGGCGAAATGAAGTGAGATAGAGCCAAACACTCGTTTTAAAGAAGACACTGCCCGGCCTCGACTTTCGCACCTGCGGTCACTGGACAGCTTCTGCGGTTCCGCAGGTGCGACACCAATTTTGCTTCTGCGAAAAAGCCCCCAGCTGCCCCAGTCCGCTTCTGCGCTGCCAAGATCGCATATGCGATCACGCAGGTGCGAAAATTCCTTCGCACCTGCAGCCTCTGCCCCATTCACTCCCAGCCGCTTCTGCGGTTCACTGCCTCGCTTCTGCGGGGCCGCTTCTGCGATGAAGCTTCCGCAGAAGCGGTTACACCAGCAACAAGAACCCCCCTTCAACTCCTCCTTCAAGTCAAAATCGATCTATTTGCCATCTAGAATCCACCCGAGGCCCTCGGGACCTCAACCAATTATACCAACATGTCCAAAGACACATCACGAACTTGGTCGAGCCTTCAAATCACATCAAACAATGCTAAAACCATGAATCACACTCCAATTTAAGCTTAATGAACTTTAGAACTTCAACCTTCGATGCCGAAACCATCAAATCACGTCCTATTGATATCAAATTTGCACACAAATCACATTCAACATTACGGACCTACTCCAACTTTCGGAATCGGAATCCGACCCCGATATCAAAAAGTCCACTTCCGATCAAACTTCTCAAAAACCTTCAAATTTCTAACTTTAGCCAAACGACTCCAGAATAACCTACGAACCTCCAAATCCACTTCCAGATGCGCTCCCAATACAAGAATCACCATACAGAGCTATTCCTGAACTCAGAATCCCAAACGGACATCGATAACATAAAAATGCACCCCCACCTCAAATTCATGAAACTCTTCCAAAATGCTAACTTCCACAATAGGCGTCGAAACGCTCCTGGGTAATCCAAAACCCGATCCGAACATACGCCCAGTTTCGAAATCATCATACGAACCTGCTGGAACCTTCAATCCCGATTCTGAGGTCGTTTGCTTAAAAATTCAATCTTAGTCAATTCTTCCAACTTAAAGCTTTCGAAATGAGGATTTTCTTTTTCCGAATAAACTCCGAACTTCCCGAAATTTAATTCCGAACACGCGTACAAGTCATAATACCTTAAGTGAAGCTACTCATGGCCTCAAACCGCCGAACGATGCGCTAGAGCTCAAAACGACTGATCGGATCGTTACACATAAGCACCACATTAATTAAAAGATAGACAAGGAGGGACAATACCAAAAATCCATGTAAAAGCAGAATAAAAACAACACGATAATAAGATGATCAAAATGAAAGAAAATTACTGGTAGTCAAAGAAA